TTAGCCATAAACTCTGAATAGAGAAAAAATTCCCCTATAATTTTTGTGTTCTTCTCCTCCCATGCAGAACTCATCTAAAAGTAACAGAAAAGGCTCTAATAACCCGGGCAGGGGAATGCAAACTAAACTAAATAGAGAGAGAAGATTTTTAATATTTTAATAGATTTTAATAGATTTTTAATAGAATTTTGAGATTTTAACAGAAGAGAAGCAGATTTTAAATAGTTGTCATGTTTTTTTGCAGTTTGGTTATTTAAAAGATCTTTCAATTAACTTGCTAGTGTAGTGCCATATGCTTTAGTTTATGGTGTTACACCGGAATTAATCTTCTCTTTGAATGTTAAGTATAGGAGAAGGGATTTTTCTCTTCTGTTTTATTGTCTGGTCATAGTCCCGTACTTGGGAGTGTTGGGCGTGTTACTCTTTTAATGCCCTCCCCTCAGAAGTGTTTGTAATTCTCTTTCAGAAATAATTTGCAATATTAAGATCAGAAGGGGCCCTGAGATCTCTCAGGTTGAATGCTTGCAAAGGAGAGAGCATGGTGCCAGTGAGCTGCGCTCTGGGAAGGATTGCTCTCGTACCTTATCAGAAAGCATAAAATTAACAGGAGAGCCTGCATTAGGAAACCAGTTCTGTGGAACAGCTGTGGCAGAATTAGAGAGCAGAAGGAATGATACTGGATTCTATTTAAGACAAATACCATTGTCCAGGGACAATGACACTTAATTTTACAGTGGCAGTGTCCCAGCTATCTCCTGGCAATACATGCACGAAAGAAGAGACAGCTCCACCCCAAATAACTCCCTTTGTGTTGTGATCATAGCTTTATCTACTCTTATTTTGCTCATTACATTTGCTGTCACAGAACATTTTTTTTTTGGGTGTAGTGTGTTCTCATCTCTTGTTGTGGAGAGCCAGATTTTCTAAAGATACTTCAGGATGTCAGTGGATGCCGGGTGCTCTCCATGGTGCTTTGAAAAACCCACTGCAGACTTTCCTGTGTGCAAAGGAAGACTAACAAGCCTTTGATACAATACCCTTTTACCTAGTTTAGGTCTGTAATATATGCATCAAATTCTCTATTGACTGTACAAATGTAAATCTAATTTGTGATCATTTTTCAGAATAAACCCCCTTCTTATTAAAGAGAAAAGTGCCTTTTATAAACCGAGAGACAAATAAATGTAGGAATTCTTTTTCTCAGTCTAGAGCTGATTCTCACTGGAGTGATGGTTCATGAATTAGTGATGAAGCTAAAATATTGGCAGGGAGGAAGCAACATGCTGAGAATGAAAATGTGCCATTAAACTAAAAGCAATGCTTTCAAATGTCCTAGAAGGAAATGTAAGATCTCTTACACAGAGTAGGATTAATATCCTTACTTCTAATGCAATAAACTAAAAATAAGTAAGTGGGAGTTATAGAAAATTCTTACAGGTTATGCAGTTAACTGAGTTGGCAAACACAGGTAACATTTACCTTGTTGCCACCACGCTTGGGAACCCAGCTCAAGAAGAAGCTTACCGACGAGAATTTCATCCTTTCCCCAAACTCCGTTCCACTGTCATGTCCTTTTGAAGTCCTCCCTCCAGAGCTGCTGGGATGGGGGGAGTAACTAGTCACCTGATAACAATAAGATGATAAAAACTGCAGAAACCGTGAGACTTCTTGTTTACATGTCTGTTTTTATGACTTGAAGCCGTGCAGCCATAAAAAACCAGGTGGGCTAAGGCTCACACCTTCTTACCTTTCCTCTTCCATTTCCCATTCTTGACATTTGTTAAGCTAATTCTTGCGTTCTGTCTTAATCGTACCTTTGGTGTGCTGTTTGCTTTTAAGGTAAATCGCTTGAATAAAGGCAGCACTAAAATAGCGTAATTAAGGACTGCAGAATCTGTCCATCACACTGGCAACTCCTTTATGGGCTCTTTGACTAACTGCGTGTCTGAGGCTGAACACAAAGGGGTGTGTGTGAACTTGGTGTCAGTGTAATACATGTATTCAGAACGTACTGGGAAAGGGACTCAGGCTGCTTTTTGTTATTAAGACACGAACCCACTCATTTTTTTAGTGCAATCTATGCTTCACTATGTTATCTCATGACTTCTGTTCAGGGGCAGTAGTCAGCAGTGTGACTGGGTCACTGAACAGCGGTAGTTGCACTGCAAAGATAAATGAGTTCACAGCTGAACTAGCAGGCGGCTGAGAATAGGGATTGAAAGAGTTTTGTACACACAGGCAGCCACAAGAGTTTGGCAATGAGCAGCACTGGTTTGACACAGACAATCAATCTTGCCTGATGCAAATTCCACCTGCTACAAAAGACATATTTGGGATGTAACTGGAAAGGATTTAATACACCGTCTAGTTTTTACAGACAAGGTGGAAACTTGTGAGTATCTGGTACCTGCCTGGTGAGGGGGTCTTGCCCGCGCCCTTACTGTGAGGCATCTGATGGTGGCTGCCGGCTGTAGCAGGAGACTCTGCTAGGCTGTGCCCGAGGCGGGTGTCTGTTAGGGCAGTCCGCAACAGGCTGGGGGACAAATGCTCTTCTCTGGTGAAAGAGAGAGGCAGAGAATGCACTCTGATGCATTCTCTCTCTCTTTCTTTAAACACACCTACCAGGAGCGAAAAATGGGTATCCGAAATGAGATTTTATTATCTGGCCTCTAGACTCCGTCTGAGCCACATCTATGATGGGCAGCAGGTTAGGAGGTGTAGGGACAAAAGGTATGTGTTTCTTTACAATCTCAGTAAATCTCCAACCTATTGTTGTTCTGGGCTGTCCTGAGCTGTCTTAGCCCTGCACCAAGATCAGGCTGCTCACATGCTCGGTTTCATCGCTTCTAATCGCTCTGTGTCGCATATTTGCAGATACATTTCTTTGATGAGCTATGGAGGGATTTTGCTGCAGGTGCAGAAATACAAACTAAAATTCAGAGCAGAGCAAGAAACCAGGGTGATGGACTTAGCAAGCAGCCTAGCAGTGCTGGGCACAGCTAGCTGTCTCATCTGATTGAGAGGTACTTTCATTTGAGAGAAAGGGGGGAGTGAGCCGGTAGTAGCATTTTATGTATAGTGTGGCTGGACAAAGCAATGCTGTGTGATTTGCATATCCCTCGTCTGACCTGTGCTCACCCACGTCGGGGGCTAGACAGCTTGGAGGGGGAGGTAGGGATGGGAGATGAGATTCCTGTGATAGCACAACTCTAAATATGGACTTTTTCTTCTCTGGCACCTGGCATCCAGAACTGTATCGGCAGTCATCTTAAACAGGAAAAAGTAACTAGCTTAACAACTAATTCCGCCCATGTTTTATGATACGTCCTGTGTTTAATGCAATATCCAGTAAACGTTTTGTATTTGCCATTTCATGAGTCCAGTTCTTTCCAGCTTCAGCTATTGGAATTTAAGGAAGCAAAAAGAAGTAATCAAGCTAAGCTGGTCTCTATCTATTGCATTTTTATGATGTAGGCTTTTCTATTAGTAGATTGTGAGGAGTTGCTCATGGACTGAATTAATTTCTTGAGACTTCACGGGTTCAGCCAGAATATATAAGACATGATCCATTTGTGCTTGTGCTGGTGAAAACGTTATTGCTTCCATAATAC